AAAATATATAAAATAATATGTATGGTTAAAATCATATAATTCATAAATTTTATATACGCATGTGTATGTATATATGTACATATAAATGAGTGCATGTATAGCTAGCTGACAGATAATGATGGGTGGATGGATAGGTAGGTAGGTAGGTAGGTAGATAAGATGGACAACAGGTAAATAGATAGATTTAAAAAAACAAAGAGCTGTCTTTTGGATCAGGGTTTCTTAACCCTGGGGCTACTGATATTCTGTATTGGATATTTTTGGCAATGTTTATGATGGAGCCCAGAGCCTTGTGCATGCTGGGCAAGTATTCGGTTATCATTGAGCTACATCCCAAGTGTGTGCTGGATACTTCTCTGTTGCGGGAAGCCATCCTTATTGCATTGTATGCTGTTTATCAACATCCCTAACCTCTACTCACTAGATACCAGTAGCACCCCGCTAGGTTGCAATAACCAAAAATGTCAGCAGACATCAACAAAATTCCCCCAGGGTAAGATCTGCTACTCTGGGTAGTGACAGATAACACTTATTTATATATATATGCATTGCAATATTTTCCAAAATTTCTAAAATTATTATGCATTACATTTGTATTCCTGGGGGGAAATGTTCTGTACAAAGGCAAACTGACTAATAGGAGAGGAAATTATTCATGTTTTATGAAACTAAACTGCAATCACGGAAATATGTATTACAGGAGCTGTAGAATATATGCTGTGATTTTTTTCCTTCCATCAGAAATTACTTAGCAAGTGCTTAACAATAAAAAAATAAAAATAAATAAAAAATATATAGTGGAAAAAACAGCAGCAATCTTTTCTACCTGTGTCAGGTACATCCGAGCGGTAACAGCAGAAAGAGGTGGATAAATGAGAATTGGTTTAGTTGTCTCCCCAATAGCGTCACCAATGAGCTTCCCATTGCAAGAATAAGCAGCAATTGCAAATATGTATTTTTCATTAGTTTCTAGACCTTTCACTTCAAAAATGCTTCTACCATCAGCTGGTATCTATAAATAGAAACATATTTCAACTTTTACACAGAAAATCAAGATCATGTGACTTTTAAGACACAATTGGGTTAAACCTTTTTCTTTCACTATTAGATCTTAGTTATGACTGAAGTGGAAATTAATGTTGAATCACTAAAATCATGACTTCACAGGAGGAAAACACTTAGTTGTCAAGAATAAGGCTTTGATAAGATTTCCTGACAGGGAGCACAACCTACCGCCTCTCCTGAATTTGGGAGATGATTGTGGTTTAGCCTCACTTTTCTATAACTTCCTTCTGCTTTGCAACCCAATATGCAGTACCAGGCCACCTGCCAGGAGAGAGAACAGCCATCATCTGCAGTCTGTTTAAGAGAACTGTATTTCTTTTGTCTGATAGAGCAGAAGTAGTAATCTGTTTGAATGCATATTTTTATTGAATTTTTGTGCATTTCATACAAAATATCAATCATCTTTATACCCCTTCCTCATCTGCACCCCCATATCACTGGATTTCATGCATTCTGTCATATATGTTAAGGCCTATTGAGTCAAGTTAGTCTACCCAGACATCCCTCAGTGCAAGTTCATCCACTGAGGTCCTAGTCAATCTATCTAGAGTCCCTCCCTTAAAGATCAGCTCTCCCTCACCCAGCATTAATCAGGTGCCAATAGTTCTATGGCTAAGTGTGGGCCTGCGGCCCATTTCCCCAGTTCTATGCCAGCTCTTGTCTAATTGAGTTTGCATGCTATAAGTTAATATGAGCAAGGTCCCAGGATCCTTTAAGACTGTTTCCTTATGGTCACGTACCTCCTCCCCTGGCTCTTATAATCTTTCCACCTCCTCTTCCAAAATGGTCCCTGAGCCCTGGGTGGGTAGAGTTTAATATAGGAGTCCTGTCCATGCTCTACAGGCTCTTTCTCTCTACACTTCGGCCAGTTGTGGCCTTTTGTGCTCATTGGTCTGTTGCATGAGGAAGCTTTGCTGATGAGAGATGCATTAGTATTTTCTCTACCCTTTGTTCCACTATGTACTGTGAGCCTTAGGAGTACAGGTTCCATTGTAGATAGAAGCAGTAATCTTTCAAATAAAACTATGAAATCTAAGATTTTATATGTAAAATCTTATAGAAGTAAACACAAATATGGAGCTTGCTTTCCTGGGACAATCAAAACTAAAATATGGCTGGACATGCCTTTAATCTCAGCACTCGGGAGGCAGAGGCAGGAGAATCTCTCTGAGTTCAAGGCCAGCCTGGCTTATATAGACTTCCAGACCAGTCAGACATAGTAAGATACTGTCTCAAAAACAAACAAATGAAAAACTAAAATACTGGGGCTAGAGAGATGGTTCAGCGGTTATGAGCATTGACTGCTCTTGCAGAGGGCCCGTGTTTAATTCCCAGCACCCACGTGGCAGCTACAAACCATCCTTAACTCCAGTTCCAGGGGAATCCGAAGCCCTCTTCTGACCTCCGTGACATTGCACGACATGGATGCACTCACATACATGCAGGAAATACACTCATACACATAAAATAAAAATTATAAATATTTTTTAAAAACTAAAATGTTATTATTACTCTGTGTGTGTGTGTGTGTGTGTGTGTGTGTGTGTGTGTGTGTGTGTGTGTTCATGTATCTAGAGGGGGGGATGTGCCCCGCATGGGGCACATGTGGGGTGTTGAGGAGGACGTCTGGTGTTGCTCCTCTTCTTCTCTTTTTTTTGTACTAGAGGCGGGTATGTGCCTGCCATGGTGCACATGTGGAGTTTAGAGGGAAACCTCTGGTGTCGCTCCTCATCTTCCATCTTGTTTGAGACAGGGTCTTGTCTGTCCACTGCATACTCCAGGCTAGCTGCCCACAGGCTTCCAGAGATTTCCTGTCTTGGCCTCTCATCTCCCCACAGGAGCACAGGGATTGCAGATGCTCATGGTACACGTCTGGCTTTTATATGGGTTCTGGGGATTTGAACCCAGGTCCTTGTGCTTGCATGGCACACTGAACCATCTCCCCAGCTTCTCACTAGTACTATTAATTGGGAAGTTTCTCTGTGCTAAGTATCATTAGGAATTTGAAATCTACTTTCCCCTTTTACTGGTGCTGGTGTGTATTCATTATACATAGTGATGGTTTCATACAGACATTTTCATGCAAGTGTATCATGTACTGTGACCATGTTTCCTGTCCTACTCTCCCTTTGCTGCCTCTCCCCTCCCATGATTCCCATTCATTTCCCTAGTCTCCTTTCTGCTTTCAGCTCCTTATATGCATCTACATAAAAATCTAAGATGCACAGAAAAAAACATGTAGTATTGGTCTTTCTGAGCCCCACTTATTTTGCTTAATATAATGATGTTCAGTCTCATCCTTTCTCCTAAAATGACATGATTTCATTCTTCTTTGTACTAAATGAAACTCCATTCATTTGTGAAGAAACACATTTTCTTCATCCATTTATCTGCTGACTGATTCCTAGACAGATGCCATAACTTAGCTATTGTGACTAGGGCTGCAGAAAACAGACGTGCAAGTATCTCTGTGGTGTGTTGAATTAAGTCCTTCTGGTATAAACCCAGGAGTGAGGCAGCTAGGTCATATAGTAGTTTTATTTTTGCTTTTTGAGGAGCCTCTGTAATGATTTCCATAGTGGCTGAACTAATTTATATTTCCACCAGCAGTGGATGTGTTCACTTTTCCATGCATCCTCACTAGCATTTACTGTTATTTGTTTCATTAAGGACAGTCATTCTGTCTTGGGTGAGATGGAATCCTAATGCTGTTTTAATTTGGATTTCCCTGGTGGCTAAGAATGTTGAACATTTGTTCACATGTTTATCCACCATTTTTACTTCATCTTTTGAGAGCTGTCTGTTCATTTCATTTCTCCATTTATTAATTGGAGTGTTTGTTTTCTTGGGATTTACTCATTTTTTTAAAGATTTATTTAAGTGTGTGTGTACCTCCATGAATTTATGTGCACCGTGTGTCCAGGTGCCCCCTGAGGTCAGAAGAGGGCACTGGATTCCTCAGAACTTACAGGTTATGAGCCACCTAATATGGGTGCTGGGAACCAAACCTGGCTCCTCCTTAGGAGTAGTAAGCACTCTTAACCACTGAGCCATCTCTCCAGCCCCAGTATTTAGTCTTTTAAATCCTTTATATAGCCTGAATAATAATCCTCTGTCAGTTGTATCTTTCAAAGATGCTTTTTCTTATTCTGCAAACCGTCTCTTCACTTCATTCTTTCTCTTGTTGTACAGAAGCTTTTTAATTTAATGTAATCCCATTTATCAAATCTTGGTTTTATTTCCTGAGCTATTAGACTTCTTTTTGGAAAGTCCTCACCTATGCCTATATCTTGAAGTGTTTTTCCTGTTTTCCTCCAGCAGTTTAAGAGTTTCAAGTCTTTGACATATTTTGAATTGATTTTTATACAGGGAGAGATGAGGATCTAGTTTCATTCTTCTGTATGTGGACAGCCAGTTTTCCAGTACAATTTGTTGAAGGGGCTATCTTTATCCAGTGTATGTTTTCAGAATCTTTGTCAAAAACTCAGGTGACTAATATTTACTCATTGAGATGGAATTGCTACTGCCATGGGAAATGGAGAGGCAGAGAGGTTAAATCATTTTGCCTCAAAGCAGATAGAGACAGAAGTTGATTCTAAAGACAACTTAATCTCGATGGACTCAAATTATGACTAAACGGAAACAGAGGCTAGCAGTGAATGGATCCGAATATTTACATCTGATATATATATATACATATATATATATATATATGTATATATATATATCCCAAATATATCCTGAAAAAAGAAGGTGGGAAGAGAAGTTGGGTACTAAGCTATGTATGCAGCAGCAGTTACAATAAAATGTAAAAAATGTCTGTGAAGAAAATGTACCACATGAGAATTGTGGTCTAATCTACACAGGCCTGAACCCTGACTCTCCATCACTTTTTAAAATGAGTTTGTACAGAATCATCACTTTTTTACATCACAAATATCCAAGAGACAGATATCCAAGCCTGCCTAACTTCAACTTAGACTTAGAATTAGACTTTCTGGTACTGGTGCCTGATCCTTTGTGTTGCTAGAGAACATTTCTTGGGTGATTGTGATATAGACAACCAGTTAAGATCACTAGGCAAAGCAAAATAAAAAATAAAAACTCGAGGTAAAGCGGGGGGGGGGGGGGGTGGAGAGTCAGATACCAGTAAATATCAAAAGAATCTCAAAATAATATAAAAATAAACTTAATTTCCCCTGATTACCCAGATAAAAAGAGTACAAGTTTTTATGGGTAGTGGGTAGAAAGAGAGTGTTAGATGACAGGTTGTTATTGCTCTAAATTTTGCCATATAGACCAGAATCTTGAGGGCAAATTCTCTCTAAAAGCATTTTTACAAGCTTTATTTCGTTCCACTGAAGGAAACATCCTAGTTTGTGTAACACAAAGAAGCAATGTATAATTAGGATCTACATAAGAATAGAGACATTGTGAGCAAATCACTAACTTTGGAAGTAAGATTTTTATAAATGATGTAAACAGCATTAGCATTTCAACTATAGAAACAGATTTTAATGAAGTGAATGCTTAACAAGGGGCTCTGCTAAGACAAAAGATGGCTGAACCACAAACCAGAAAACGTACTTAAGCCAGCAGCGCCACCTAGTGCTGCTAAGGCAAAAGTGGCAGGAGAGCCTTCCTGAAACAACTCTCCCAAGGAGCAGTTTACACACGTTTTAACATGGGCCACTGGAAAAGCACTAGAACTACAGGTCAAATATAAGACTCTCATGTCTTCCTATTTTCAAACATATAAAATAAAATAATCTCCAAATTGTAATATAAAAAATTGGGGTTGGGGTTAAATAAAAATACATGAAAACAAACAAAAACTTGATAAGTTATCCGGTTTTCATTCTGTACTAATTTCCCAATATCAGTGAAGCACTACTCTTGCAGAATTTTCCAGAAACTCTAAAGTTGAACTACTGGTACTAAAAGTAATGTACTTATATGCCACCATAGTTATGTGTAAGATGAAGGCTTTTTCTATGCATACAACTTAAAAAGAAAAGAAAAGGAAAAAAAGAACATGAAAGTGGTGGTGTTACTTCTAAACAGCATCCAATTCCCATCAGTCTGAAGTTCCCCAAAGAATGAACCACATTCGTTCACATTTACCTTTGTACCTCAATTACCTCATACAGAACTTGACAGCTTATAGACCTTCAAAAGATGCTCCCTGTACAGAGTTAACAAAAAATGTCATCAAATAATGCAATCACAATCTGTAGCTCCAGCAATTGTTTTGATAAATTCTAATTACACATGTTTAGTAAAAGTAAAATAGAGACATCCACCAATATGCCAAGAGCATTATATATTTTTGTTGTTGTTGCTGCTGTTGTTTGAAACAGGGTCTCAAGTGTCCCATGCTGAGTTTGTTGTGTAGTCCAGATGACCTTGAACTTTAATGCTTCTGCTTCCATATCCCAAGTCCTGGGATTATAGGCATGTACTACCACACCTAGTGTATGAGGTGGTGGGGATGGAGCCAGGTATATATGCACGCCAGGCAAGCACTCTACCAACTAAACTATATCCCCAGCCCTATCTCAGTTTGTTTTCACAATAACTATAATTTACAAAAGAAAATTCCTCAAAAATGTATCTGACCTTCTTAAAGTTGTACAGATAGTTAAGGAGTAGAGCTCAAATTTCAAACTTAAATGTGTTTGACTTCAAAGTCTTTGCATGCAAAATGCCCTAAAGACAATCAAAGATAGAATTTTATTGTCGTATAACATCAAAGAGCGTGTTGCTGATCTTCTAAAAGACGAAAGTGCAATATTTAGAATATAAACTAGCTTGAGGCAATTTCTTGTTAGAAAATGAAATCTCAAGTGCTAGTCCCATTTAGGACAAGTTCCAGGTCACCAGGGATGGGAGGAGAGGCTCATTCTAATAAATGCATAAAGATTTGTGAGTGAAGATGGTTGGAACTGTCATTCAGTTCTACGTTCCTTTGAAGGAACTTTAGGCAGAATTTCTAGACTCCGGACTTTCAAGTTTCCATGGTTTGCTACCTTGTCACCATCACTGGCTCTGAAAAGCTATGCTCTTCGAATGTCTGATTCTTCACAGGAGTCCTCTACCTTGAGCACACTGTCAGCATACAACTGTGTCACGGTGCCAAAGACACACAGAGGGAACTATTTCTCTGTTGTTCCCCCTTACCACACATTTGGTATACTGTGGCTTTACGGACACTCTATAAAAGGAAAAATATCATGAAGAAACTAAGGATAGATAAGACATGAGAACACCAATCTGATGTTCAATGCTTATAAATAAGACTATTCAGGTCCTGAAAACAATAAAAACACAAGTCATGAAAGCCATGAAAGGGCTTATGTTTCTTTGCGTGAGGCAAAGCTCAGGAGGGGCACCATACCTTAACATCTGAAACAAATGGAGCGGGTTTGAGTATCACAGAACAGTGCGTCCGGGCCAGCAGGATAGGCGGAGGAGGGGTTTTGCCCTTCTTTGTTTTTGAACTTTCCAAATACTGCTGATAAGAATATAGGGCATTTTGTTCTGCTTCAGTCTTCTCAATTAAGGAAGATGCTTCCTGTAATGAAGTGAGAAAATAGAAAAATATGTTTCACAAGCTTGAGCTTCCTATTTGTAGAACTCCCTTGTGATAAACATTATCTTTCTATATGCAGTGTCTTGAACCTCAGAGGCATATGTACACATATATGTATGTATCACTGATTTTGCAAGCTTATAAAATGACTACTAAGTAAACTGAACATGATTACCAATGGAATCATATTTATATGTCTAAATGTAATTGTCATACATTAATATGGACACTTTGTCTTTGAATCCTTGGACTATCTACCATCATGTTTCATTATGCTTAAAAAGTTCCTAACACGGATGCCTGCATTTACACAGATAAATCACACACCAACCCTTAATGCAACTTGCAGTGTGACTGTCAAGGAATGAGACTATTGATATACATGGACTGTGATATGAATGTCAGAGTTTCTATCAGCAAGGTGAAGTAAAAATAGATTTTTAAAGAAACATATATTCTGTAAACCTGAAGGAAAGGCAGTCACAATTTCAAGAGATTCTATAAGAGATGGCACATAACAATCAGAAGCAATATTTCCAAAAGTATGACTAACTATAACAGCAGTGACGTGTAAGTTCCCAAATAATACTGAGCACATAGTAGTTGCTCAGTTAGCATCAGTTAAAATAAGAGCAATATTTAGTCTTAATAATCCTAGGTAAACTAGACATTTTTGTCTTGACTTATAAAATACTTGAGACAGGCTGGAGAGATGGTTCAGCAGTTAAGAGCACTTGCTGCTCTTGCAGAGGCCTTGGTTCAGTTCCCAGCATCTACATGGCAGCTCACAACTGTCTGTACCTCCCTCCAGTTCTAAGGGATTTCTTCTGGCCTCTGCATACATGCAGGCAAGCATTCATACACAAAAAATAAAAATAAATTAGTATTTTAAAAGATATTTTAAACCCAAAAGGCAGGGTTTGCCTGAAGGCCAGCCACAGGTGACAGCTTGAAAGAAGGATCAGAACCAGAAAAGGTAAATGGATTTCCCAGGTAACTGCGGAAACCGTGCAGAAAACCTGTGAGGAAAGGAATCCCTTGCTGAACAGAGGGGAGATAAAAGATACTATAGTCATTTTGTTTTGTTCAAGACAAGGTCTCACTCTGTAATCCAGACTAGCCTGGAATTCACTGTGTAACCCAGGCTATCCCAGACCAGGAACTCTTTGTGTAATCCAGGCTAGCCTGAACTGAGAACACATTATATAACCCAGGCTAGCCTCAAACTTGTAGCAATTGTCCTGTCTTAATCTCCTTAGTGCTAGGATTACAGTAGTGAACCACCATGTCTGGCCAAAGCCATCTTAATTTGAACATTATTTTAACATGTCTTCTTTACATCATGGGTTGTGAAGACCAGGATATTTGAAGTCACATGAAAACATGTAAAATCAGCTTAAGGAAAAATTATTCAATAATGGAGGAGTGCGATATCTTGAATCAGGAGGTGTTTACTGCCTCTTAATTATGTTTGGAGCCTGTAAACAAACCAGTAGTATGACCCACTGGCCCTGGTACAGGACAGACTGTCTACCCCCACATTTAATGCCCAAGCCTGCCTTGGTAGCTCCTGCTGGTATGGACCAGATGGACATTAAGCATCTTCCTCCCTCACTCCAGAACCTTCTCTTTGCATGATCATGAGCTTAGCTGGGGTCAAGCAAGACCTTTCTGCTTTTGGTCAGAGGCCATCACACAGTCATCTCTCAGACTGGATACTAATTAGTATGTTGTAAGTTGTTTATTTAAAATTTTAAGATGATCCATCTCAAACACAAAAATCTCCAGAAGGAGGGCTTGAACATGCATATCATTAAAAATGCTATGAAGAATCCTGAAGTGAATCAAGGGCTGTCAACCATTGTTTTAGCTGAGTAATTTAGATCACAGACCCTCAGCTGCCTTTCCCTCTCACAGAAATCAGGTCAGGTCCCCTGCTGCTCTCTCTCAGACAGCACTGACAACACTGTGCTGTGGCCTTGCATCTCTTCCCCTTCACTGCAGAAAGAAATGCATATTCTTACCCAATTCTTGGCTCTTTTTCACAGACTAAATCACCTGGTTGGAACTTCCCGCCACCTCTTGAAAACCTACAAAAGTCAGAAATCTCCCTCTGTTTGGGAGATCCAAAGGCTCTTTCTCCTTCAGGACCCCAGTCATGCTGTACGTGGCTACTCTCTCTCTCCTGCTCTTTCACTTCAAACTCTCTCTACTAATGAAGCGCCTCTCCGGGTTTTGAAGGGATGCCTCTCTCCCCTCAAGGCCCCTTATGTTGTTTCTGGTATGATGCTGTATCTTGCTAATGCTCTCCTATCTTGAGGCCCTATCACTCCCACCACGGTCAGGAGGTTCTCTCCTCAAAAAGCTCATTTGGAAGGATAATTTTGTGTCAGCTCCTTTCCCAAACCAACCAACCTACTGCATCTGACCTCCAGTCCGGATTCTGTTATAACAAGTATATCTAGCTTTCTCTCAGTCTCTAGGATCCTCAACCTGTGGTCTTCTCGACTTTCAGTGTCTCCTCCAATATTTACCGAAGGGCAAACTTCTGCACAGGAGTTATTTTGTAATGACCATGACCGTATCTTCTGGCCTTATTTTCCTGTGCACTATTTTGCTCTCTTATACCTGCCTCTCTATCCAACCTGAACCTCTGAAGCCATTAATTTCCATGCAATTCCTTCTTCCTAAACAACTTTACATCTCCTTTACTGGTTCAAGACCCACTCAAACTGACAGTTTCACTGACACCTCCATGACAGACCCATGTAGTTAGGCATTCATCATACTCATTCATCTTTATTTCAACAAGTTCTTATAGGTTATTTCTGTATCTGACTAACTGCATCTTGTTAACAATGAATGCCTTGGTGGCAGGGACAGTACTTTATTTCTTTTGGCTGAATTGCTGTGTTCTGAATGAAAGGCATACTAAATTATGATGGTGAAAAAGATGTTTACTACAGTGCATTTTAAACTGCATGTTTAAACTGTTCTGACAGGGCTGGAGTGATGGCTCAGCCGTTAAGAGCACTGGCTGCTCTTGCAGAGAACCCAGGTTGGCAGCTAACAATCACTTGTAACTCCAGTTCCAGAGGAATCCAACACTCTCTTCTGACCGCGGCAGGCATTTCATGACACAGGTGCACTTACACACACACAGGCAATATACTCAAACACATAAAAATAATAAAAATATTTTTAAAACTGAAGGCTGGAGATTTGGCTCAGCTGTTAAGAGCACTTGTTGCTCTTACAGAGGACCTGGGTTTGGTTCTAACAACCACATGGCAGCTAGTAACCCAACTGTAACTTCAGTTCCAGGGAAACTGACACCCTCTTCAGACCTCTGCTGGCTCTTGCACACACATGGTGCACATAAACTTGCACAAGCAAATACACATACACAAAAATAAACCAGTAAATTAATGAATCATTTTTAAAAATTCTCTGGCTGGGTCTTGATCAATTTTAACATCAGACCCCTAACTCAGATCCTGTAGTCCAATTTAAAATAGGTTAACAGAAATATTAAAGTTTTCAGGAAAAAGTGATGAAGTAACCGTCTAAAGTCCTAGATTTTGGTAAATCAGATAAATTCCCTAACAGAACTCAAGGCACATCTTAATGCCTACTAAAAACAGAATCCTAACTCAGTAAGCCAAACTTCAAGCTGCTAATAAGGTTTCATTCATGAGAAAATGTTTAGGAATGTTTTAAGGCTTCTTCAACAACACCGGAGGAAACGACATCTGAAAAAACAAAGAAGGAAAAGTTCTCAAAATCATCTGTACTCAGTGTTGGAAAAGCGTTATCAAGACTGGCATGAATGTTAAGACAATGCTCTAGAACACCCTTGTTATACAACAGCAAAATGTGCAGCACCGTTCCATTCTTCTAGCTCAAGAACTCCAAGACATGTCATATACTGGAAAATAACCAACCGCATTCCCTGTCCTGACTAACAGTCCTGGCAAATTCAAACCTGAGGGAGGAAATGACTATTGATCAAGGAGAAAGGTTGACCAGGGGCCTCAATGGAAAGGTACTTCTGCACCAACTCGCAAGGGAAATGCACCCTGAGTATGCTGCTCTCCATGGTCCTTCGTGCTTCAGTGTGCTGCAAAACCACTCAAGCCTTAAGTATTTTTGTGTGGATGCAAATTTCTCTGCCTATAGTTTCCATTAGAGAAAATGAGACTTGCCTCTCTTCAGAAGTTTGCAAGTACTTATGAAGACAGGCTGACATTAAATACATTTGACACAGGCCTGACACCCACAGTGTGGCAGAACACTAATAGGCAGATGTAATGCAATCTTGAGGGCATGATGAAGATGTATGTAAACAACTATCACACGGCTGTGGTGATGGACTGCCACATTTACTACTCATCTCGGAGACCCCCCTAAGGTATATTCTGGGTCCCAGAGTGATGATGCACACTGTAGAAGATGATGAAAAGTGGACTAAGTCATCTCCAAGAACCCTGCAAAGAATATTGATAAGAATGAAAGACACCGCTTGGAAGATAAATCTAAGAAAAAACAGAAAGAAATGTGTTGATTCATAAAGAAATACATCTATGGCTCAGATAATGGTCCAATCAAATGCTCCAGAGTACTTAAAGTGAAAGACAGAGTAGTAGAAGTAGTAGTAGTAGTAGTAGTAGTACTAATAACAATAATAATAATAACAATAACAATAATGACTAATAGTTATTGACTGTACCAAAGCTAAGCATTTTATGTACATTACTGTACTGTATCTTTCTAAGACACCCTTTAATAGATGAAGAGATAAATACACTAAAAGGGTATAAACAATATAGGAAATAGAGCTGATAGGCAGATGAACCAGAACTCTAAATTCCTTAGACTCCTAACCACCAAGTTATCATATCCAAATACAACGCTAAGCTGAAAAAAACTTAGGAAGGCCACTGAGGTAAAGTTGGCCACATAATGCTTTTAAAATACTTGTAAACACACATACATACACACACACACACAAACACACACACACACACACATACACACACCACTGTGTAAGTGTATTCAAATCATCTGTCAGCATTTGAAACCCAAGGTCCAAACCATGGCCTCATGGAGGGGGTCAGAATCAAAAAGGTTTCACTCTTTCATAAGGAAGATTTCAGTATAGAACAGTTATAAAGAACTGAGAGGGTCTCAAAAAAAAAGAATAGATCATAGCCCCCCTCCAAGAAAAGCAAATTGGATTAAGTTGACTAAAATGTTATAAGTAAAAGAAATAATAGCATAGTTGATAGAATGGAATTCATAGATACAAATTCAGGAGTAATTAGAACTGCTAGTAGCTCTGGTTCCATCATTAGCTCTGTTTCTAAAATGGGACTATACAAGTATATTCTGAATTAACTATAAAAATAATCTGCTAAACCATAATGCTTCTTTGCTTAGAGTTGAGGTTCTAGTACCAGAATTTGGTACTATTAACAATATCTCAACTACATACTCATTTAAGTTCCAACAAATAATATTAGGAAAAAACTAGATGTAACTATTGTGTTTCTTTGCAAAGGAAGGTACATCCTTCTAAGCAAGAACAAAAGAGGCACTCACCCATCTGGAAAGATAATACTGTCAAAAGTCTGTCCCACATCTGTGGTAACAAATCGGTCCACTTTTAATTGATTTGGAATCACACAGACACTTGATGAAATTACAAAGATCCACAAGGGCAGAAAACTTTTGAAAGAACAAAACAGAGTATGAATTATTTAAGAGTTCCTAAAAGATCCAAGCTTTTCATACCTTTTTGTGGTATCAGGTGGCATATCAATTACTGATCTGGGGACGATTTTATTACACGACCATGATAGTATAAAACATTTTGTGATATTCTTCAGCAGAGAATGACAGCCAAGGGAAAGAAGTTTATTTGTCTTCTTTAAGGAAAGAAAGTTTGACAATTATTTGAGCCATAACATCACTGTTTAGGAGAGTACCCTGAGGACTGATCATTCTACCATAAACTTCACATACAAAGCACCGCTAAGGAACAGAGGACACAGGACCCTGAAATAAATCTTCAACATGCTCCCAGATGACAAAATCCTTGTGGCAGATGCCTCATAAAAAGCAGAGCCTCCGAATGCATCTCTTGAATCTATCTCAGTTTTTCAAGTTAGAACACTTTTCCTTAAGAAATGGAAAGAAGAGAGGCATGCTGGAAACTTGGGCTTCTGGTATCTGCCCTGTCCTCCTCAGGCTCAGTGGGAAGGAGGTAGAGCTATGAAAAGGAAACGGCGTATTATGGAAACATGAAGATAAGACTGACACAGTAAAACAGAAGAAAAAAGGCTTTGCTCTCATCAGGTTCCAAAACATACGGGATTAGTCCTGAAAGGAACATCTCTAAAAGAAAGCTAAGGTTTACTTGCCATAGAAACAGTATCCAGGTACTAATGTCCTCCAAGCAGATACAGCCATTGAAGCATCTGCTGAGAATATGGATCTAAACGCATCCTAGAAGCCTCCCAACAAAGATCAGAGACTACTTGACCTTGTCAGTTCCATTCAGACTACCCAATTCCGCCATCAATCCCCACCCCCAAGTCAAATGCCAGAAATTCAAAAGCTCTTCCCTAATACTACCAGATTCCTGGCCTCCAGTCATGATAGCATGTTCCAAAGCCCTTAGCCTGCTGGGAAAGCCCTCAGACTGCTCTCTACTTTCTATCTGGTCTTGTGTGTGACCACCCTGCCCTCAGCCCCCTCTTGCCCCTGCTATTTCTAAGGTCATCACAGTAAATGACCTACAGGTCTACAAGTGCTCAGTGATCTCTGTACCTGTGGGGCCTCTACACACATTCCTCCTGTCTCCTTCTGTTCAGTATTCTTTCGGTTTTCAACTTTAGTCCAAGTTTTCTGGTGCCTGATTAGGTCTCCTAGAGAGGACCAATTGTGTGATATTTCTGTAGCCATCAGATCTTCAAACACTTTGATGGACTTACTTTCTTCCCCACTCAATAGGCACTCATTTTTTTCATGCTATAAATATTTAGCCCATACTTGTTGTAACAAAGAGATGGAGAGCAGCAGGCACAGGAAAGGAACTGTCACAAAATTTCCCTTCAGAATGAGCTGAATTAGGAGAGAGGGCCTTGTGACCATGGGGTATGGGGAGCTGCAATCAGGCCCTGAGGTAAGAGAGCCATAGGAAAGATGGTACATTTGCACCAGAGACAGGACCTTAGCAGGAGAAAGCCTTCCCTTCAGACTCCTAGGAAGGAGCTTCATTAGGAGAGGTAAAGTAGGACAGCAGGAGAGAGAGAGTCATCATATACAACATAATGGGGGAGCTGGAAGGAAAAAGACAGAGAGCCTTCATTAAATCCCCTATTTGCTTTGTATTACATATGAAAGTTTGAGTCCATCTGTCTGTGACATCAGCTTCCAGAGATCTGATAAAAGCCAAGCAAATACCTGACTTTCATACATTTTTAAAGGGTGGTGGGAAGCTCCACATCTCATGATTTAGTCCAACATTGCTGACATACCAAGGAGAACCCCTTCATCTGTGTGTTTTAACCTTTACAGCAGGGACCTGTTAGCTGGAGGGGGCGTGGCCTGATTTCTGGGAGAAAGAAGCAGCTAGAAGGTCTGTGATCTAATAAAAGCCTCATTAAGAATTTTCAATAATCCTAAACAAATCTACATTGTCACAAGCATTCTGCTGCCACTGCTATCATCCATATCATAAGGATAACTCAAACTATAGGAAGAAGGGCCCTCTAACGATTCACTGTCTCCAGCCTCAGGAGGAACTTCGTGATTCTAGCCAGTCTTTCCATGGAGTTAGCTCTGTCATCATTCTTCCCTATGCTCAGTTCCTTTCCAGTCTCTTCCCATTCCATCTACCCTCTCCTCCATTACTGGCAAAGACCCTTGCTTCCTAATTTCTCAAATTATTGAGGCATGAAAGTAACAACTCAGCTCCCCGCCTCCACACCAACAAATTTCTTACCTGTGTATCTGCCCACTGCGCTTTACTTTCTGTATCAAAGGATGAAGTGTCTGCCTTGGGGCCTACACCTTTACCTGTGCTTCCAATCTCCTCCTCTTCCCTCCTCTGTGGGACTTCGTACACGATTAACGGCTCTTGTATCTTCTATTTCTGTCTTCTGTCTGTTCATCCTTAGCATACTCACTTCTACATGTTCTGTCTTAAACTCTTTTGAGAGTTCTAGTTTTGACTTAGTTTTTTCCTTGTCTTATTGGCCAAGTAACTTGTACCATTACTCTCTGTCTCCGTGTGACATTCATTTAGCCACTGCAATAGTTTGGATATGGAATGTCCCCCAAAGTCCCATGTGGTGACCAGCCCCTGGCACTACTGGGAGATAGTGGAATCTTTAGAAAGTGGGTCCTAGTGAAAAGTTAGGCCATGAAGGACATGCTTTTGAAAGGGATATTGGAACCTCAACTCTCCTCTCCTGTTTTTCTTCTCTTCTCTCTCTCACCTCTCTTCTCTCTCTCTCTCAATCTCTCTCAATCTCAACTCTCTTCTCTCCTCTCAATCTCTCAATTTCTCTCTCTCTCTCTCTCTCTCTCTCTCTCTCTCTCTCTCTCTCTCCTCTCCCCCTCGCCCCTTTCTCTCTCTCTCCTTTCATGGCTTCTCTCTCTCTCTCTCTCTCTCTCTTCCCCCATTCCTGGCTGCCATGAGGTCAACAGGTTTCCTGTTATTACACATTTTCACCATACTGAATTGCATCACCAGAGACTCAAAAGCAAAGGACTGGAATCTTTAAAATGTGAGACAAATAAACATTGCCTCCTTTTAAGATGTTTGTCTCCACTGGGCAACTTCCCACAACATTGGAAAGCTATCACAGACAGTGCAATCATACATAAGGCAAAAATAAAGGTTCCATAACTTGAAATGTGATTGCCATCGGGAAGTTAAACTAAAACATCATGTCACGAATCATCAAGAAGATTGAATAATTTCCAGCATGAGACCTCATTAAAGGTAGCAACAAGAACTGGGAACATAACTCAGTGGTAGAGTGAGTACTTAGCCTGCATGAGGACTTGTGTTCCATCCCCATCACTGAATAAGAGAAAGTATCAACAAGAAAGTCGGTCCATGTGTTAGAAGCATCCATCTGGAAGAGAAGATACCTGAGCCAATGGGTTTATTTATTTTTATTTTATTTTTAATTTATGTATGAGTGCATTGCCTGCATATATTTAAGTGCACCTGTGTCAAGCAGTGTCCGTGGAGGCCAGAAGAGGGCATGAGGTTCCCGGGAATGAGAGTTACAGATGGTTGTTAGCTTCCACCCACGTGGGTGCTGGGAGCTGAACCCGGGTCCTCTGCAAGAGCAGCCAGTGCTCCTAACCAATGAGCCATCTCTCCAGGCTCTAGGTTTATTATTTTAATTCTAACATGAGGCATGCACCAGACTGATCAGTGTCACTCGGATTTTAATTTCCCGCATTTTGACACCTTCTGATTTTAGCTGGCTTCTCAAATCTTTGTCTCTAGAGATAGAAGTGCTCTCATTTCCAAACAGTTCAGGCCTGGAGGTACAGATCACTCTCCCTGCTTAAGCTAGTCTGCATATGGTGATCCTCAAAGTTCATAACTGGATGTAAAATCAACAAATCAAGTTTTAAAAAGAGAAACAAACCATTCGTTTTAACAGAAGAGGTACATACAGACTAAAAAGAGGGAAATGAAATATAATTACCATCAACAAGTCCCATGAAGATTTACAAGCTTCATCTTTCTCAAACAGTAAAAGAGCTTTCTGCATCAAGTAAACGGCTTTGGATAGTTTATTCTTCTTTATCTTATCCATTACATTTAATTCTACAAAGGCAAACAAATATTACTAAAAGGGCAAGATAATTATCATTCCACTTCATTTTGAAATGCAGGTTGCCCCAATATTAATTACCTGAAAAACAATCAGTACGTCTAGATTGTTTTAACTTTTCAGAACCTTTAGTAGAATAATTTGTGCTAACACTTGGAATCTGAAAAACTGAAGAATAATACACATTACAAACCAAACAGGAAATCTTTTTTCCGTGCTAGGGTTCAAACCCATGGCACTGGGCATGCTAGGCCAGTGTTTTACCACTAAGCTACAATCCCAGCCCTTGTTTTTTGTTGAGACAGAATCTCCCTATTTGACTCAGGCTGGTCTTGAATTCACTATGTTGTCCAGGCTGGCCCCAAACTCACAATCCTGCACCAATCTCCCAAGTGTTGGGAATACAGGCACATACTACCACAAAACACGCTGCAGTTTTTCTGTCTGACCTTCTTTTCCACAGAGTACTTCAGGACACAGAATTTCCAAACTATAACAAGATTTGATTTTCTGTTTCATCTTAAATAAAATCATCTTGCAGGTGAACTCTGGTTCACTCCACTTTCTTTGTAAAGTAAAGTAGCAAGTCCTGATATGGATACCAATTAAACCATCTCTGGCCATTTCCAGAGAAACTTTGTCAGTGTGGTCCCAGGAAAATCTCTGAGTACCACTGAAAACTGAAAACCTCTCTAACAATTTTCAACTAAAACACAAAGGACTTCAGGTGTTGGTCCCATGTACAGCTGGCACTGTCTTGGTGGTCCAATAAAACAGATGATGGAGATAAGGATGAAGTTGTGCTGGCCCAGGAGACAGGAAGTACAGCACTGATATGTGATTTTTAGGTATGGTCTACAAAGGTAGGGCACTGTGCTGCTTCTGTCCTGTGAGGTATGCATCTCTTTTGTTGAGTTTTTGTTGAGCCAATGCACATGAGTCACTACAAGAGGGTAACTGAGGCGAAGATAGAATCAGACGCCACTGAGGAATATATGGCTTCTTTCATGGCAAAAGAAAAGGGAAACTACCTGCATGGGATTAGCAGGCAAAGCAGAAAATAATGCATGTCTCCCAGCATTGAGCATATGGCAAATGTTAATCAAGCTCTCCTGAGCACAACCTTTGATGACAAGAACGATAAGATTTCAAGGAAATCCTCAATGGCCAGATATAGTCAAGTCATATTTAAAACCATAGTCAACAGGCAACCATTGCAAAGTTCTTGAATAAGAAAGGCAAAAACAGTAATTAGGGAACGTTAGTCTAGCAGCAATATATTTAAGTGAAGAAAGACAAGAGGAACAAAGTGATAATCTGTGCTAGGACAGTAGTTCAATAAAGCAAAGGAAAAAAGTTAGAGAGACTCAGAGAGGCCACAAAAGAATAATAACTAATTCCATTTAAGACTGAACTCAAACCTACTATCAAGGGCTTTATGTGGTCTCTCATAAAAACTCATTTGGCCTTCAAAGATTTAACGGACAGCAGTTAGAGAATAAACTATTAAATAGTAACTCTAAGAACAAACAAAGCCCTATTTTTTCCACTAAAGATAACATAGGAAATAATGAGCTTCATGGCTTGTTTCTTAAAGAAAACTTGACACAATAATTCTATTCAATTTGAAATGCATTTCTGAACCAGATCTTTTCAGCTTCAAAGAACATTTGAGGTTACTATTTAAGTAAGCGCCTTTATGTAGCAGAAAGATCTTATCAACTCTTCAATTTATTTATGATGAAACAAAGATGTTGAAATTATTATTTGCTCTCCGCTACATCCAGCAGGTCACATAGAAAACAGTTTTTAAATTTTACACATATTTAAAATAAAATATAAAAGTATGAAAACATAAAGAATGAAAAAAAGGAAATTTACTGACCAGCTATGCAAAGTATAAAGCAATAAACAAGGGTACCTATTGATATTAATCAGTGGGAAAAATAAAATAGTTGAGTTTTATTTGTAAAGCAGTCAACAAAAACACAATTGCAAAATTAATTGAATTAATTATTTTAAAATTGATTCCATGTGGTTACTTGCTTTGATGGCCACTACCTTGCAGTTGATCAAGAAGTCCAACAGCTATGTGGTGCTGAGCTTGAATGAGTTCAAGATGCAGGTCCATCATAAAACTATTTGCTGAGATTGGTTTGTACATGTCTCCATCTAGATCATGGGAGCACTTCAGCCCAACAGAGTTGTAGTAGAGATTAAAGGAAAAAGAGTTATCAAAACACCTTATTATCACTCATTCTATCTTATTCATTGCCATTAAGTTCTGCTCACTTCTAAGTCTGTGCAATTAGTTTTCATGCCAGTACATAGTCTCTTAGGGTGTTCTCTTCAACGAGAACCTCAAAAAAACGTACTCTTCTTGGTTTCTTCTGGGAGGAGATATTTCTGAGAAAATCTGTCACCATCATGCTCACCTACATGCAAAACCCTTTTCCTAGTTAGTAAACCACCAACCTAACGTAAAGTTTTTTCCCTTCTTACCTTGACATAGCAATGGTCGATTATTGATGATCCATTTGGCAATGTGGTTAGCATGCAATTCCAATTCATCCCAGCAATTGCTCTGTCAAGAAGTTGATAAGCATAAAACAACTGCTCCACAGGTGCTTGCTACAAAATTTTACAAACAAAAGAGGGACAATGAAACTCTCTAACAATAACTCAAAACCAAATAGCAGAAGCTTAGTCTGCCCAATGCCACCCACGCTGTGTCTTACTAAATATGCTTATCTCCAACTAAATATTAAATACTGCCAATGAAGATGAAAATATATTCCCCATTTTCCAAATACAAACTTTTCACATATTTTTAAGTGCCATCCATTGTTTTCAAATTTTTCAATATATACCAAACATACAGATAATTTTTTAAATGAAGTTTATATAATTTGCTGTTCTTATACACTTAATCTGACAAATTACAACATTTTAAACTCTCAGAATCACAGAGCTGGAAATTTAAACTTAACACATCATGATTTTCCAAATATACATACTTTTTAATGCCATTATTCTCATAGGAAGATAAACAGAATACAGTGTAAAGAACAACCTGTTCAAATATTCAAATATCTGTTTAAATATTTTTTCAGAATCTTTTAGGAAATAGATCATACACAAACACACATAAAGCTGAAATCCCTTGGGTAATTGTCCATGAGTCAGTCCTCTTCACTGCCCCAGCAAGGAGACACTGCCCTTGAATTTGGTTTTGCCATTCTTTTGCACGTTTTTAAACAGTCACCATGTGTGTCTTGAACAACATGCAGCATCACTTTTTAAAATTTTAAATGCTTTTTAATTTCTCCTTTGTAAATTTTTGCCAACTTTTTTTCACTCAACCATATGTTGCTGAAGTTTACTCAGGCTGGTGTGTGTAATTTAATGGGTTAGGGATGGTTTCATTATGGACACAGGACTACTATAAATTTTTCAAGAAGAAAGGAATTGAATACACAGAATTACAGGTGTCTGTTAGTATTAGGAAGCACGAGGAAGCAAAGGTTAAGAAAACTGCCTGGTGAGAATTTCACTTTTTGTGATTCTCCAGAACATCTTCAGAAGCTTGTGGGAATCTAAGAAGCTGGGAGACGACTGACAACACCCTCAAGCACCTGCTACACCGACTACACTGGCGCAGGTAAGTCGTAAGAGCTCGCTTAATATGGCTATTAAATTCTCACTTTCCATCTGCTATTACAGAGTACAAACTCCTCTCTTCGTTACAAAGCCAAGTAAATGTTCCTCACTGGAAGATTAACCACCTAGAACCAAATGGAAATGAGGTGCTGGAAATGCAGGTCCAGGTTCCCTCAGCAGTCCAGTGACTATAGAGTGGGAGTGCAGTGATGCCAAGCCAGCTTCAGTTCCTTCATCCTCACATTCATGTGGCCTGAACTGGTGCTACTCTGAAGAGAAAGTCAAAGTTATCCACTCTTCTGCTGATGAATGTTAAGACTGCTGTTACTAAACAGGCTGCAATAAGTTGTGTGTGTCTGTGCATAAAACCAGGTGGATGCTTTCTTTACACTCTTGACGCCTTTTTTTTCTGCTTTGGTTATTTTTTTCTATCCATCTAAGGCTTCCAAAACATGTTGAAGACAATGAAAGATGAGTTATATCAGAACAAAGGGGCAGCTCGAACCTTTTACCACAGGTAAAATATTAATTGAAGGTTTTTCGATGCTATCCCTTATCAGGAAAGAAAGCCTATTTCCAACTGCTAAAAGTTATTTACTAAAAGATTGGCTGTTGAATTTTGTCAAATGCTTTATTTGCATCTCGTTGTGTTAATGCTGTTGTCATGGGTTTTTTTTCTTTGTTAATGTGATATATTGCATTATAGGATTCTAATATTACATGAATCTTCCTTTCCTAGAATACACTTGCTTTGATCACATATAACTGTTCAACACATATGTCCCCTAAAGAATCACAACCTCAAGAAGGCTTCCAAGCAACTCAAGTAGTATAAATTCAAATAACAAACCTACTTGAGGGCAGACCCGAGGTTATAAATCATTAGGGCTATAACTTTCTCCTCTTCTTGGGATTGAAACTGAAATATCTTCCTATAAAAACAGATTTTTTTCTTAATGTCCTTTTCTAGTTTATTTTTTCTAGGAGCTAGCTTTTTATAGGTTCTAACTTTATGGGGAGTCTCGGTGCCAACTCCATCTTTCATGGGCCCAAGTTTGATATCTTTCCTCTAGGTGGCTATTAAAAGTTGATGCTTCCTTGTAGCCATGCCCAGCGACCCATTATAGCACCCACCTTCGCACTTTGGTTCTCAGTTCCCCTTTCTGCTTTGGCCCCTGGATTTATCTTACTTTCTTGTGAACTCTGCACAGTGCTTGAAGACATTTCTTCAATTCTGTCCAAAATTTCTAAGTCTTTTCCAGAAGGAAGACATTGAAGTCATTCAAGTGATTGTTTATCCAAACAACCAGCTGGGTCACTAAGGCTATGTGTGTGCATGTGTGTGCATGTTCATGTGTGTGTTGGTGCACATATGTTTATGGGTGCATGTGTGTATGCATGAGGAGGCAAGATAACATTAGCTGTCATAATTCAGTTCCATCGCCTTGTTTGTTAGGACAGGGTCTCTCCTTGGCCTGGAGCTCATCAAGTAGGCAAGGTTAGCTGGCACCGAGCCCCGGGGATCTGCGCTCTCCACCTCCTCAGCCCTGGGATTACAAGCATGAGCCACCACACCTAGCTTTTTACACAGGTTCTAGGAACCAAACTCAAATCCTCGTGCTTATAAGGCAAGTACTTTATCAACTGACCTCCAGTGCTGAGGGTATCTTTTCAACACACACACAAAAAAATATTTTATTTCATTTCATTTTAGACAGGGCCTCCCTATAGCCCCAGCTGGCCTCGAACTCACTATGTAAACTCTACCTCCTGAGTGCTGGGATTAAAGGCTTGTGCCACCACATAGAATAGTCAATTTTTTATTGACTGATTTTAGCACCACATAGAATAGTCAATTTTTTATTGACTGATTTTTATTTTCTGTATATGAGTGTTCTGCCTATATGTGTGTAAGTGTGCCATGTGCATGTAATGACCATGGAGGTCAAAAGAGGGCATCAGCTCCCCTGGAACTGGACTTACTGATGGTTGTTAGCTGTCATGTTGGGTGCTGGGAATGGAACCTGGTCTTCTGTAATAGCAGCCGATGCTCTGAATTGCTGAGTCATTCCTCCATTTCCTAACATGAAAATCTTTCAAAGACCACACACACACACACACACACACACACACACACACACACACACCCTACCACTACCACTACCACCACCACCATCATCATCATCATCATCTTTACCACAATCATCTGCAGTGCATTATCATCTTCATCATCATCACAGCTAACATTTAACTTAAACATCATCCAGTACTTACATCAATGCTCTCCACAGAGTAATCTATTAGTTTCCAGAGCTCTCTGTGACATATACTCATCACTTATCTTAATTTTATAATCCATTTGTTGAACTGATGCTATGTATTCAGTAAAAGTTTGAAATTGTTTTAAATCATGTTATGACAAATACCTCATTTTTTTTCATACAGTATTTTGCATGTATGCAAAACAGATCATTTTCCCACCTAAGACTCTGCTAGGTAAGCATATGAATCTCTGACCCTCCCACAACAGCAAGTTCTCATTCTTTACCCCCACTTCATTCCCTTCCATGTGGGTTTGAGAACCCTAAGTTAAGATCCAGAATCCTAAGTGAAATCTGAGCACTGAACAACTAACTATCATGTACCAGGTTCTGTTTTCCACAATGTTACCCATACATCATTTAAATAGGATAGCAACTCAGTGGAACAGGTACAGTAACAATTCTACAAACCAGGACATCTGAAAGGACGAAATGATTCATTCAAGGTCATACACACAGTCAACATCCTGGTCAAGACTCAAGTCTGGATCTGTCCAAAATAAATGCTAGACTCTCATGCACTCCATCAATTGCCTGCTATATAGCTACTATGTGTCCAGCACAAAAGAGCAGGCTGCACACGCACAACATAAAGCCTGCATACATGCCATTGCCATCATAGACTGCATATTTTAACAACCTCCCAGTAGTTGGTAGTAAACAGAGCAGAGGATTTTGTTTCTGAGTCAAATAATAACAACACTAGTTTATAAATGACCTTCAGTTTCTTTGTTGTGAGAAATTTGACAGCCAAGAAGCTCATTTTATTTAGTGGCTTTAATTGATAGAAATTTTCTATTTCAAGACATTAGAATTCCTATTCCTGCCTAGCACCTCAGGGAATAAGAACTAGGTCACTAAGCCCAAGATTCTCAAGACCTAGTGTCCTGTCTGAGGAACTTTTAAGAACCTCAAAGCTGAGATTATGGTTGAGCATGTCTGGAGTGAGAAATGAGAAGCCAGGTACTGTGCAAACACTGTAGGTGAAACCTGGAAACGTCGCAGTCAGATGATCGTTATGCCTTCTCCATTTCATCAGTTTCTGTTCTCAATTTTAAACTTCTCAAATGTAGCTCTCTCCACAAGACACGATGCAGCATAAAGAATTCAAATTTGTATTCCCTAAAATTTATACTCGAATACAAACATTCTTTTGAGAAGGAAAATTCAAAACAAACCCCTCCCTAATCCTTGTATACATTCAGAATGATATCTGCTTGGCACACAATTTCTTAGGACTTTGCCCCTTACACGAAGTGTGACAGAAGGATGAAGTTACACTTAAAATTAGCACTTGTTCTAATAATTCAAAAGGTTGCCACAAATAAAGGTACAGGGGTGGGTGGCAAATTATTAAAGGGCAATTAAAGTATTTATGTCTGCACATTAGAAAAATATATTTTATATAAAGATCCTGAACACCTTTCTATAATCAAGAAATAATACAGCAACAGAGACTATAAGCTTGGATCTGAAAGGCAAGACATCTAAGATAAAACCCCCAATCTATACTGTCCTATGTGCCTATGAAGAAGTTGGATATAGTGAAAATGAACTCCATGATTACCTGCACCAACCTGGATACAGCTCTCAAACACAACACTGAGAGTAAAAAGAGGGCTGAGTGTGGCTTCACAGACTGTGACACCA